CAAAGCACATTACGTCTGAGAGTCTTCTTTCTAACATATAAATGCTTCTGAAGAGGACCTGTTTCAGGTTATGATCAGTTATCTGTATTGACCTAAGCTTTTTTGAATTTATAAGTTTCTGGGAAAGCTTTGATTTCCTAAACTGCTTCAAGATCTTTTAAAAAGTATTCAGGGTGGCCCTCCCTGGTGGCGCAGCGGGTTAAAGCACTGCACTGAGAAGCTTAAGCCACTTCCTCATGAGTTCGATTCCCGCCTGCCCCTGGAGGAGACCACATGGCGTGGCAGACCTCTCCTGACCCGCCCGCTGCTCGCCTCAGCAGTGTACTTCGTCGATCTGCCTGTTCTGCACCCCACCCTGTCTCTGGTGAATCCTCTCACCCTCCGCATCTCTGGCCTGTACCCCAGTTCTATATGAATAAATAAATAAATCTTTAAAAAAAAAAAAGTATTCAGGGTCTAGGACAAAGCACATTGTACCTTCCTACTTCCTCCTTCCACACAAATATTACAAATAGAACTGAATTTTAATGACATAATAATGGTTAATGTTTATTAAGCATTTACTATTTGTGGAGGTCAGTTCTGTATACTTTCCATGTGACCTGCACAACAAACCAGTGTATTGGGTACAATTATTTTTTAAGATGAAAAATTAAGCATAAGTGAAATGAGTCAGACAGCAAAAGGCAAATACTATATGATCTCATTAATATGTGCGCTCCAAAAGACCATGAACTCAAAGAAATAGAGCCGATTGTTGGTTGCCAGAGACTGGGGTGGAGGAAGATGGAGGAAATGGGTAAAGATGGTCAAAAGGCACAAAATTCCAGTAATAAGATTAATAAGTTCTGAGGATATAATGTACAGCATGGTGATTCTAGCTAATAATTCTTTGTTATGTCTCTAAAACTTGCTAACAGAATGGATGATAAAAGTTCTGGTCACAAGCAAAAAAATAAATCTTGTAAATATATGAAGTGGTGTTGCTAACTAAACCTACTGAGGTGATCATTTTGTAATCTATACAAGTAAAATCCTTATAGACCACCTTAAACTAAGTCTGTTACATGTTGATTACATCTCAATAAAATAGGAGGGAAACATAGAAGGAATATAATGAAACAGGTGGGAAAATAATGATAATGATGAACAGCTACATACCAAAGACATTTTCTGGAGTGGGAAATGGGATCAAAAACAGTGGGGGGAGGGAAATACCCTGGACTATGGTGATGGCACATGGGTGATTTGGTGATGGGAAACCCAAGGGGATTACAACTGAGATGGAAAAATGTACAAAAATATGTAAAAATCAACTAATATAAAAAATTTTAAAAATGGGAAGGAAATCAAACAACAGCAGCAAAAGAAATTAAAGCATAACTTGGTTGTATAACTCACATAGAGACTCATATAGTAAGTGGAAAAGTCAGGACTCACATGTAACCCATTTGAATTCAAACCCTTTGTCTTAATTACTATTCTCTTCCACTTCACCAGTGAGAAATTTGATTTACATCTTCATTTGCTCAACAAATATTTAATGAGTGCTATGTGCTTGGCGCTGTTCTGGCCAGAGCAGAACCCTTCTCTTGAGAGGTTACCATCTGTAGGTAGAGAAACTAGCATCTGTGGATAGGAGTCTGGGCAGAACTGAAGGGACAAAAATGATGGGGGTCAAGTTCCACGTTGGGCTGTCACTGAAGAGACCAAGCCACAGTTAAAACTTAAAGAGTAGGAGTTACATCATTGTTTGCACTGTCCACCAAGGAGCAAATTTCAAGGCAGTGAGAACTGAGACTGGTGAATCTGATCACAGCCCAGAAAAACACCATGTTCATGGTGAGGGGCACCATGGCCACCTCACCCTGGGGTTTTCATAGGCATCTGGTCAGCTTTTTAATATAAAGATAAAAACTACCTTAGCGTATGCAGACATGACTACAACAGAATGTTCGAGCTGGAAATGTCTGAATTTCAATTTTGTGGGTGAGAAAACTAAAATCCAGAGGAATTAAAGACTTTCCTACGTCACACAACTACATGTTATTAAAGTGGGTCTAGAAGGTTGCACCCTGTTGAGTAGGGTGGTCTGAATTTTCCTAGATCACATCCCCTTGGGGCATATCCCAAATAATCTCCTGAATTTCTGTATATTTATAATAAAATATTTCATGAGTAAAATAGACTTTTAAAAGGTCAGTTTCTCTTGCTACATCTATCAAGTTAGCTTTTTGTATGTTTGTTTCTAGTCTTAATGACAGCAACTAGGATCAATATCCTCTCTCTTTTTCATAAATGTCAATTGTGGCAATAGATATTCAGGTATCATTCTCTCACTTATTCCTTTTTGTGCAGCTTTCATTTGAAATTCTTTCTACTCATTTTTATTATTTATTTCAAAGCAGCAAAATGTTCTTCTGAGTCTCTCAAGAAAGAACTATTTCTAACAAAGCTTTAGCCACTGCTACTGTTCATTAGGTACATAGTTTTTGTCAAAGGACCTGACAAGACCACAGTTGCTGAGTTCACATTGTATTTTGAAGCATAATATTTCCAAGTGTTATATTGAAGCAGGATGTCCTAACCACAAATACAAAACAGACTTCTTTTGAAATGCAAGTCAGAAAGGGATGAGCAATAGAACCAGGAACACAAAAGCATATTGAGATGATCTGTAATATGAGTCACCATGTGGCCATTGACTTCGCAAGGGAAGTCACCAAGGCAAAAGTTACTGTGTACATTTAACTCACATGGTTATAAAATCATTAAACAAACACATCATTAGATTTTTCCCCTTTTGTTGTATTATTTGGAAGCATATTAAGATTTTTTAATGGTTTCCAAACTGGTGAATGCAATTTCATTTGAAAGGGAGTTTAAAGAAAGCCCAACTTACTTTAATTAATTCAACAACCCCCCCCTTTTATTTACTATAAATCATCTTTCAGTTAAAATTTTAATCTATCTGTTATTGGGATATAATTAGTTCTCTTTAAAGCTTATAAACCTCAGCAGGACCCTCTGTCAATGATGTCCTCTTTCTCATGATCTTTTTAACCCAATTGTGCTTGGTTTCTGGTTTCACTGGGTTGGGATTAAATCAATGCATTCCTCCTGCTGCATAATTAGGACTGCTTTTAAAACTGTGGCAGACCTCTTCTGACCAGCCCGCTGCTCCCCTCAGCAGTGTACTTGGTGGATCTGCCTGTTCTGCTCCCTGCTCTGTCTCTGGTGAAGCCTCTCACGGCCCCTGAGCCTCTGGCCTGTACCCCAGTTCTGTATGTACAAATAAATAAATCTTTAAAAAAAAACTGTAATTACAAACCTCAACTGAAGATTGTGAATTGCATTCACTGTCATAACTGCCATTAGCAGTTTTAAATTCTTTCAGATCAGTGGGATAAAGATGTCATGTTAATAATTTCCCAGCTATATGTCTGCTATTAATTATCTTCCACAATTACAAACTTGGATAGGATGCAAAACTAGACACAGACCCTGGATAAATGCCAATGTTTTGTGGATCTAAAGAAATTTTTAGGGAAAAAGTATTCTTTTAAAAAATAACACTGTGGATGACAGAGTTGGGATAAGAGTTTAAAATTAGTGAGTCACAGCCTTAATTTTATAAATGGATAGAATCCTAATCTATTTGTCTTCCTGGGGGAAATAAAGTATTTTGGATAATTGCTCATTCTAATTTTATTATTTTCTAGAGAGTGGAATTGAATACTTTATGAAGTTGTTTCAAAGCTTTGTGGAATAGCTTTTCCAGCTCACAGACTCTTTCATAAGAGTAAAAATTCCCAACACCCTGCTCTTCACTGGAATCTAGAGATGTAAGGCGACTTATCCAGAAAGCTCAGAATTTGACATTGCACTTCCCAGTTTTAAATACACTACAAAAAATATTTTCATGATTAAAAAACAAAGCTTACATACTTTCTCTTAAGTAAACAATTTCCTTTGAAGTAAGATCTTTGGTAAGTAGAAACTCATGTATCAACTGATAAGATTATTATTCTGCTGTTAGCCAAGTTTGATTAACTAAATTTCTCTTTGCCATCTTCATCAAGTTTCTTCTCTATTAAGTCTTTATAGATAATCAACATCTTGCTATTTTATGAATTTCTAATTCAAGCGAATTAGTCTATATAGCAGGTTTCGAAGTTCCAATCAAATTCTTGTTTGCAATTATCTAAATGTATGTGTATTTACACACACGTGCGCACACACATACACACTGCTCATTATAATTTCCCTACTATGCATGTCTGGGTGTTTATAAAGGGAATGAATTGTGGTGGGAAAATATTCCAGTGGTTCTTTACAACTATGATAATGCTTTGTATTTGTGTTAAGAGTAATGGGGGTACTCATTTACATTTTTTTCATTTATATTTTTACTTGCTTGAAGTTTACAATGTAAAGCAAACAGGTAGATTTTGTTATGAGACTTCAGGTTCAGAGACAGAAAGGCTTTGAAACTAGTAAATGCATTCTTTAGGTGAAGGGAATAAGCTTTTGAAACAAGGGGGTGGGGAGAGAAAGCCAGTTTTGTACAAGCTAATAGAATTCAGCCCATTTGTCTGAGTGCTTTTGGACAAATGTTAGGAAGAGAACAATGGGAGCTGAGAAGAATTGTTACTAGCATGGTGACTCTAGGAAGAGGCACTGCAATAGAGAATTTAGGGACAAGTGAATTAGCACCTCTTGTTCTCTTTCTTTTATTTGGTTAGTAAATAGCAAGAGTTGGCTAATTAATTGGTTCTAGTCTGGGAGTCCTTAGCTTCTAGAAATGTTCTCCCTGCAGCTTTCCAAGAGTAGCTGTTAAGTAGTGTGGCAAATGATTAACTCTGTCACCTCAGATTTTGCATGCCTGCTACATATGCTTTTAAGTGTACTTCAGCCTTGCAATGGAAAAAAAAATACAAGTCAACAACTCTTACAGTGCAACAATTTTAATAATCCACACTAAAATGGGTGGGAGAGTTTTGTAGTTCAACACTAAAGGCAACCTTGCCTTACTTAAATTCTACTTAAGAAAGCTTCAGCTGTCTCCCAGCCCTTCCCTTAAGGTATAAAATCCTACCGAAGTACTTCTAAAGTGCATTTTTCAGGCATTGAAAACAGCGCTGTGATTTGCTTCGCAATAAAGTGGCCTGAATCAGAGAATTTCTTCCTGATTCGAGGGGCTGCGAAGTTCCAGTTGAGCTACCATCTCTTAGGAAACAAGCCTCATTCCCACAAATTATACAACCCATGAAAGTCACGGAAGAGCTTTCTGAAAGGAAAACAAAACAAAAAACAAAACAAAACAAAACAAAACGATGATGCCAACTTCTGCTGTGGCAAGATCTTCTCATACCACAAACAGTTAATGCATCCTTGAGTTCTGGAATGCTGAAAACTCAGTTGAGGCTTTGATTTCCAGGAAAATAAAACTGGTGGAAGGCTTATGCGAATAGTCTGAATTTGGTGAAATTAGACACCAAGTACAGGAGACTGTCAAAAATCCCAGGTTTAGAACGGGGAGGGGATGGATAGTTGGGAAAGGGTTGGGATGAGGTGAGGAAGAGAGACAATTTTAAGCAGCCACCGCTTATTGCTTGTCCTCTTGGGGGTCACCAGGGAACCCCGCCTCCTCTGGAGACCTGACTCCTTCAGGGAGCAGAGTGGCGCGCACTTTCCTCTTCTCCTTAAAGCGACCCGAACGCGAGATCTTCAAATTTCTACGACTGTTGCCTGATTTCTCTCCGCACAACTTGTCTGGTTTGTGGGGCTCGTTGGCGCCTCCAAAGAGATTCGGGTGCTGGTTCTCCCGGGAGCTACTATTCCAGTCCGGGCCGGGCGGGGCGGGCTCCCCGGGGGTAGACTGAGCCGGTGGCAGTGTCCCCACGGTTGCTTCCTTGCTTTTCTTCCGGCTGTTAGTGAGCGATTTCCACCAGGAGCTGGAGCTGCCGGTGCCGCCGCTATCGGCCATGGCCAGTCGCCCAAGGACCCTGGGCGACCCAGGTGCGGTAGCGCCTCAGCTGCGGCACCTCTCTCCCTTTGGTCTCCGGCGCTCGAGCGGCACCTTCAATGGCTCTCACCAGAGGCCTGCTGGCTGGAAGCCCTGCAGGGTCCGGTGCTAGGGAAGAATGCAACACTTGGTTACTGGTTTGTCGAAATCATGCGCCCCCACTCCTATTGCCTTCCCTTCCCTCCGCTGGCAGCAGATCGGCCCGTTGTGAGTACTAGAGAAAAAGCCTAGAACCAGCAGTCCCCACGAAGCACCACAAACGCGCTCGCCGGGTTGCTGGAGGACATCCTCCAGGGCGCCACCAACTGGTTCAGTGGTTGAATCCTGGCAATCCTGGTCTCAACCGTTGACTTTCCACTAGGGTAAGTGCGGCGGTTTGCGCCGAGGCGTGACCAGGCTGAGTTATCGGGATGTGGAATATCCGGACCCGAGAGGGAAATGGCCAGTTCTGTCGCTCTGCTAGACTGTCGAAGGACCCCCGAACTGGACACCAGGCCCAGAACGGCCTCCTCGAGGGCGAGCGCCTGGGAGAACGCCAGAAGCAAGCGAGTTGCTGTTATAGGTGAACAATGAATATTAAACCTTCATCGGATTTTCCCACAGACGTTTTCGCTCCATAGACCACTGCCCCCAGATCCTTTTCGATGCGATTCCCCCCGGGAATTTAGATGCCAGCAAGAGTGAAGGACAAGCTCATGGTGTTTTCCTCGGTCTCTTTTAAATTGTGCTTTTTGGCAGAATTCCTGCCTTGTTACTGACTTTCAGAGAAGCACGTCTAAACATAATTTCCTTTGAAAGTCTCCATCCCATTCATTCTTTCAGTCTTGAGATCAATTTTGCATCTCTGTGAAGTGAACCCTGGCTGATGAGAGGAGCCAAGTGGTAAATGGCCTCCCCTCTTAGTTCTGTGAGAAAATATACACCAAGTCTGTACCAGGGCACTCTTAAGATCTTAGTTGACAAATGAAAGGTTGTTACTTTTCTTGTGCAATTGTCTCCCCTAAAGGAGAGAGAACACAACCAGGAACTCCAATACAATCCTTTTCTTTTCAGCTTTTAAAACAGCTCTCTACAGAGCAGAAGGGTTTTTAAAGTTATTATTATTGTTAGCATTACAGGTCTGTGCTGGGTCTATCTGGCATTAATTGCCCTAACGCGCTGGATTTACTTGCTCCATTTCTGGTCTTCTGCTAGATTCCTTGATATCCCTAGAGCCCGGAGCTCCTGGGAATTTGCTCCAGTCAGAAAGCAACCCTCCAGCCTGGTTTGCTGGAGGTCCTCCTCCTGGAATTGCAGGGAGAGAAAAGTCTGAGCATTTACCCTAGGCAGCGACTCAGCCTGGGCTTCGAGACAGCGGCACCCACTCCTTCACTCTGAATACGTATACACTACTGCAGCGACTTGAAAACAATATAATAAAAAAGTCCTGAAAGTTCCTTCTGTGCAGAAGGCACCCACAACCCTCAGGCAGTTGGCAGCTGGGATTGCAGACATCCTGCTCCCTCCTACTTTCAGATCAGAAAACACCCCAAATTATTTACTGTTGGTAGTAGCAAGGTTGTCCTATGATGCTTTCTGTCCTCCATCTACTTTTCCTCTCTACCATCGACTTTGTGTGCAAGGAATTGAACAAAGAAAAGATTGCAAAAGAGTGCTTTTCAGGAATTGAGCAAAGAAAAGATTGCAAATTATTAAATATACGCGGAGCGTCTGAAGCTCAAAACTTCTTGGGAGCCTGGCGAACACCCCAGAGTGACACCCCGGTGCCAAGTTCTATCTTGGCTGACTCAGAGTCACTCTAACTGCTCACCTGCTCCGGCTTCTTCTGACCTCCGAGTTCGCGCTGCGCGGGCCGCCAAGAGATCGCTAGCTGGTAGCAAATTAGAAGCCCGGACGTGGCGTCGCTCTGCTCCGTCTGGAGGAGACCAGGCTTCTTTCTGGAAGGTGTGTTACTCAAAACTCCACACCCTAGCTAAATGCAGCTGCTGATCTTCCAGGACGCTCGCTTTCAACTTCGGCTTGCTGCTGAGGCGGCGGCGGTGGCTGGAGGCTTGCAGTGCTGTGTACTCCGACAAGAAGGCACCGCGGCGAGTGGATGCCAGGCTCGCTCCCCAGGTGAATGCCAGGCAGGCTTTCCTGGTTAGTAGCCTTTCATTCTTGGGCACGACCCTCTTTACTGCTAATGTATCCCGAGAGCCGCTGGGAGATGAAGCGTTGGCTGCCCACTTGGCGCGAGAAAAGACATCTGCCCACCTGTTGGTTATTCGCCAAAATGATTGGAGAAACCAGAACTCTAGGGCAGAGGGGAGGGGAAAAACAAACAAACCACACACCAAAACCAGGAGGCGGCAACCGCTGTTACAGGTGCAGGTAGGAACTTCGCTTTCCCGCCCCCAGGGGATAAGATTGGATCAGGTCGGGTAGGAGGCGCCAGCATCTGGGCATGTGATTGGAGAAAGTTTGTGCTCAACCACTTGCCGCCCGACTCGTCGCGACGAAACCGTGGAGGAGAGGGGAGGGCAGGAAACTTAGGCTGTGGGTGGGCTCTGTAGATAAAGTGTTGCCGCGTCTCTCGCTCAGCCTCTACTGCATTTCTTCCCTCCGGCCCCCTTTCTCTCGGGAGTCCAATCTTGACCACTCAGCTTCCGGGATCCTAAGTTTTGTAACTCACAGGATCTGTTTCATACCCACGCAAACTGGTGAAGAGTTCCAGGCACCTTTAGTTAAAAGTTACAATATTAGCAAACTTGCTGTGTGCCACTCAGGCGTTTTCTGGGAATTAACCCATGCACTCCTCACAGCAATCCGAGGAGGTAAATACTATTATTCTTGTCGCTTGAACGGCCAAGAAACCCTAGCCCAGCGAGGGTAGATGGTTGCTTATGGCTGGCTGCACGCTGGATAGTGGCGCAGTGTAGTCTGAACCCAGAAGGTCTCACTCTGCCTGCACTAGCTTAACTACCGCATTATAGGCTCTTAACTAAATAAGGGTGTGAATCTCCTCTCAAGTCTGAAGTTCAGGGGACAGGTCCCCTACCCCGCACCTCTATTACAAATCCAGGAAGGGGACCAGTGTATTGTGTAAAGGTTCTGGAGGGTTTGCTACCAGTAGTGCCCATGTATGCACATGTGTGTGTAATTTTTATTAGTTGGCACAGAAAGGTGTTGACACAGGGCAATTTCATTGATAAAGGTAAGAAATGCAGCAGGCATCATCTTTTAGAATGTTCTTTTTCAAAGAACGATTTGATGCTCCTTGAGCTCATGTATAAACTCCTTTGAAAGAATAGCATGAATGACACTTGAGCATCAATTTCAGAAGTAAAAGCTTTCATGCCTCCCGAATAACTTATAACTTAAAATTAAATTAGGTGAAATATAGAAATAACATTTGTAGAGTATTTTCAGTGCATGAAATATAATGCAACAGGAACACTTTATTTCATTAACTTCATAGTTCAGCATTCTTGAACTTTGTGATGTTATGCACAGCAGTACATTTTAAAGCCAGGCACTTTCATTTATTTATTGGGATGGGTTTTATAGAGTAAACTTGCAATTGTATAAGCATGACTGAACTAATACAGGCCACCAACTCTGAGAGGAGGAAGGGACAATTATTGCAATGCTATCCCACTAAGATGAAGACTCTGGTCTGAGGAAGAAGGTCATGTCAGAAGTATTATCACCACCAGGGAGTTGTGGGGCTGGTTTGCTACACCAATTGTTGAATTAAAACATTTGGAAAATAAAATTTCTGCCAAATGGCTTTGTACCTTGGATAATTTAACAAAGGGGCCAGAATTTTCTTATAAATAATAAGCATCTACTAACTACTGAAATTAAAATTTCATTTGCATATATTCCTTCCCCCATTTAGATCAAACACCTTTGAATATTTGTTTGTTGTAAACTGCTTACTGATAATGCCTTACAAATAATCTTCACATGCAGTGAAGACATTTGAAGGAAGACATGAAAACTAAGCAGAAACAAGGCGGAAGGAACTATTGAGAGGTGGAGAGTGAGTGAGCATGTCAGACACGGAATAACATGTGCAAAACCTTGAAGTATGAAGGAGTTTAGGATTGTTTAGGCACAAAGAGGAGGCTAGTTCGAACTCACTGCAGAGTGTGCTGAAGTCCTGTGGGAGCTGGAACTGGAGGGATGGATCTGACCTTTCAGGACCTTTACAGGATTTTAAAACAGGAATCTATTCAAAAGGGGGTGACATGGTAAGATTTGCATTTAAAATATCACTGTAGCAGCTAAGACTGGATGGGGAAGGGTCCAAGGGGAGGTTACTAGAAAGCCAGTTGGGAGTTGCTGGAGTGGTTCAGGTGTTGTATTTTGATGACTTGTAGTAGGTAGTGTTACAGGGCAGCTCAGAGTGGACTGGGCCGCCTGTCTGTGGGGTCTCACTCGTGCTCACAATTCCATTATACTGCAGGTACACACAAAAGGGTCAATAATGGGTTTTTACAAAAGGGGAAAGGAATAGGAAACAACCCAGGGAAAGAGAGCAGGATACAAAGTAACTGGAATACCTTAAGGCTAGGCTAACTGAACACACAGAGTCACTGAACACACAGAATCACAGGGTCAGGAGAGCTGAGCCATAGAGTGCGAGATGCAATTGCGCCCTATTTATCCCCCAAATGTCCCAGAATTCCTGCTAGCTCTGCCCTTGGGTCCTCACAGTTCTCTCCCTGGTACTGCTGGGAGTTGTAGTTTCCAATCACTGGAGTAGGGGATAGTGTCCAGAAAGCTGGAATAGGGGGTGGAGTCCATAAGACTCTGCAGAGTTCCTTTAGGACATCCTTCCCCTTCACAGTAGGAGCTGCAGGGAGGGGAGTTGAAGAGAATTACATGGAGGCAAAAGAAATTTTGGAGATGGAATCAACTGGACACTTTTTAATTTAATATATACAAAAGGGCGCTGTGATTTTAAAAGGAAGATACTCACACAGCTTTCCTTGCAACCAGAAGTATCTGTGCAATATGCTCTCATGGTCTTTATCATCACCAGTTTAATATTGTTCTCTTCTCTTCTTCATGTTCCCATCTGAGTCATTGGATTTAGTTTATAAACTTTTAGAAAGAGGGCGTTGTATTTGTGCCTGAGATTGGAATCCATTTTTTTTTAAAGATCTATCTATTTCTGCATACAGAACTGGGGTACAGGCCAGAGGCTCAGGGGCGGTGAGAGGCTTCACCAGAGACAGAGTGGGGAGCAGAACAGGCAGATCTACGAAGTACACTGCTGAGGGGAGCAGCGGGTGGGCAAGGAGAGGTCCGCAGCCGCCATATGGTCGCCTCCAGGGCAGGCGGGGATTGAACTCATGTGGAAGTGGCCTTAGCTTCCTAGTGCAGTGCTCTAACCTGCTGCGCCACCAGGGAGGGCCAAAATCCATTTTTAATAGAATCATCCTTACATATTTTGAGCTGTTACTATGAAAGATCTAATAGGTATATTCTATATATTATCTCAATTGACCACCTTTTGGGGTCATTCAACCAGAAAACTACTTCCTAGTAATCACTCTTCTTTGGATGGGTCCTAGGCTTATCTTCCTGCCTCTTTTGTACAGGAGATTATCAGAACTGAAATTGCTTTAGTGCCCAGTTGTTTTCAGCAGGTAATTCTGCTGTGAATTGTTTGGTTTGGTGTTTGTCCCTCCAACCAGAATATAATTTTCCTGTTTATTTATTAGCTTATTATCTGACTCCTTCACTAGAAAATAAGTTTGATTTTATTTAATGATTATTTACATAACACTTCCTATGTACCAGGTATAGTTCTAATTGCTTTATAACTATTAACTCAATTAATCCTCCAATAAGCCCAATGAAATAGGCACTATTATTATTATCATAGATGAAGAAATGAGACACTAAGAACTTAAGTTACTTGTACAAGGTCACGCAGCTGGTAAATATCAAAGCCAGGACTTGAGCCCAGAAAGACTGACTTTGGAGTCAGGCACCTAACAAATCACTGTATTATGTGTCTTCTATGAGAACTAGAAGATGCCACTAATGAAACTTTGGGATCTGGTCATTGCCTAACAATAATAGTTCTTGATACTGTTGAACAAGCAACCCGTCAAACACATAAAGTTGACTTCCTTGTTGGTTATAATTCACTTGACTTGTGGGGAAAAAAGTGGCAATGAAATAAAATTTAGATCTGTCAGTCCAAACATTATTAGGTCATTTTTGTTTAATTCTTTTGAGGACAGTAGTAGAACAAATTACCAGATAACTCTGTTCCTGTTGTTAACCAGTTGGAAGAATCTGTCATGTTCAATATATCCTTGGAAGGAAAAGCAGGTAGTAGAATACAAATGGAGCTGAATAATGTCATACCAGAGGAGGACAGCTGAAATTTTAGTAAATATTGTACTTAGGGAATACAGGAAAGATTTGGAGGACTTTACTTCTCAGAACAAGACTCCACAGCACATCTTAACTCTCAGGAAACATAGATAGTTTATTCTTTATTAGAAAATTACTGATGTAAATAAAAGTCATGTGCTACCATCCACAGTAATGTTCCCCGGCTAGTCACCTGCTCCAGGTCAGGGCTGGGGTAAACTAGCTTCTTGGAAAGGTGACCTGCTTGCTATCAGAGGTTGTTAATTTCCCTTTTCAAAGGGTTGATTCAGTTATGCTCCATTTGGCAGGTTATATTTTCTTTTTTGTGGTTTGTCACTGTGACAGCCCATTACGTCACTGGTGTACAGGTACAAGGTGAGTATCTGATGGAAAGGTAATATGATGCCGGAAGTGAATTTTTACTTTTCTCACCTGCACCAAGGCCAATGTCAAACTTTCATGACTAGAAGTCCATAAAAATATGTTTTCCTAAGCCAAAGTTGCAGCAAATGAACACCGAGCAGCTAAAATGGCTTTCCTTAGTGTTAACACAAGTAAATCTTAAAATACATGCTAAGCGAAGGGACACTCATGTTTGTTCATTTGACATAATTTCATTTACACAGTGGGAGAAACTGCTTCAGCTGCAGCTTTTCACCTTCAATGGCAGAGCAACCCTGAGAGACAAATACTAGAAGTCCTACAGTTTAATCTTCGCAAGTTGAAGCAATTCGCTCAAAGCCGCAGGACCCTAAGAGGTGGAAGTTAATTTGATTGGGTTTGTGATACTCTATCCCTAAAACCGTGTTCTTCTAATGCTGCTATTTGAATCTCATATGGCTTTTCGTTCATCGGTAAATCAGTAAATGTTGGTGTTAAGGCTATTACATTAAAATTCTAAAAAGGTCATTGTCTTATATGTATCTCACTTAGAAGAATGTGAAGTCATATGTAGTGCTTAAGTATGAAAGCCCAATGAATCACTGAGCACCCAAGCTCA